GAGAGAATGATGAAAGCGGATTGAAGAAGAGATAAAAAAGGTACAAAAAAGAAAGAGAAGGGGGAGATAGAAAGAAGAAAAGAGAGAGAGATTTGGAGTGAGAGGGTAGGAGGGAGAGAAAAGAATGGAGTGAGTTTAAGTTTAAAAACTCACTTCTTGTTTTTAAAGAATAGACTATATTTTTTAGTTAGTCTTGAGTTCATTTTTTTGAAAATAGTCATACCAAACAAGTTTTTAAGGCCCAAAACCTGAAAATTGTTTTTGAGTTTAAAAAGTTGGATTCAAGTAGAGTACCAAATAGGCCATAATAGTTTTGCAGTCTAGCAACCTCTTTATTTTTGGTCTACCTTTGTAATTTACAAGCTGAAGGAATTAAGAGACACTGAAAGGAACATAAATAAGGGAAAATTTTCAGTGTATTGGAAACACAACTTGGTGTACCTGTTGTTTTCTCTGTACATTGAAAAACCTGTCCAGAAATAAGGCCTTCTACTTACTAAATTCATAATTTCTGTGTCTTTGTTTCCAAACATCTTTTGGCATGCTATATCTACTTAAAATTCAAACATTTTTTTTTGGAGTGGTTGAAGATTTTCATAGAACAATAACTGATTGAATTTTATACTGGATGATTCAATTCCATGGACCTACGAATAAAGTTTAATTTAAAAAATAATTTAGTTCAAAATCTCTAGTTATATTGACACACCCTGATCGAAATCAAGGCATGCTAGCCGTCACGTAAGAGTGACGTAACCATGTGCACAGTGCAAAACCAAAATGATAAAGTGAAATACGAAAAAATAAAAACCAAACTACTAACAGTACTAGCTAAGATAACATGTTAGTGCGAGAGAAAGTGTGAAATACATAACCAGAGCATAAATAGCCGAAGTGCAGTCTGACTGGACAAGTACTAATTAAACAACACCCAAAGGTGTTCCTACATTTGTGAAATTTGTCAGAGCCACCACCACCATTCGACTCCTAAGCTTGCCAAGAGTCCAAAAATACCATTCACGACCTTGATCTGCGATGTTTGAAAGGATTTTGAGGGTTATTCATACAGGTTGTATGGAAATGGAAGAAAAATTCGAGAGGGAGGAGAGAGAGAGGGTCAATGGGGAAAGGGATTGGTGTGTGTGAGTGTAGTTCAGCTGAGTCACCAACCAAAAACAAATCACCCACGACACCAATTAATGTCCAAGGGCAAAATTGTTATTTCACGCCATTGATAACATAATTCGGGACGGGCTGTCACATATATTAATTCTACAAGTAACATTGAAAACGAAACCAATCTTAACCCTGTACTAAACAACTAAACATGTTATTAACGCAATGTTAACGCAATAAGTAATATTGAGAGAAAAAATCCAACTACATGATCTCATGCTTTGTAGAAATTTTTGAATCTGTCCGGAATATGAGTCAGTAAGTGGAGGAAAACTTCAAAAAAAAAAAAAAAAAAAAGGAAGACTTTTTTCTATTTCTATTAGGACACACAAATATGTAATGTAGTGCAGGGCTGATCTTGAGATTTTAGAGACCTTGTGCAAGACTCAAACTGTGATAGCCCGTCCCGGATTATTCGTACCGTAGGGGTGAAATGACGGTTTTGCCCCTAGTGATTTCGTTTTGTTGTGTGGTTATTTTGGGGATTCGGTTGGCTGCATTTGGACCACACATACACCCACACACTCATTCTCATCTTCTGCCCTGTCCTGAGTCTCTCTCTCTCTTTCCCTTCTTCTTCTTACGTACGGACAAGAACCAAATCACTTGAAAACGTTATGGATCGAGGAAGAAAACCATACATTTGTGTTTGTGAGGTCTATACGACTTTAATTATGCCCATTTCAGGTGCAGAAACCTTTGCTTCCACGTCGAACTCGAGATCCCCGAATTGGTCACTGTTCATGCACACGTAAAATCGTGCGTTTTTGGGAATTTCAGGTTTATAGGAAGCTTGGTGAGGTCCTTAGGAAGCTCAGGGTGGTTCGTTTGAAGGTTTTGGACGTCGGGATCGTGAGTTGCAGGTTTGGCCGGATTTTGTGAAGTTTTTCCGATGAGATTCCGTTGGTTTTAGTGCTTGAAAGTGGTAAGGTTTTGTTTTACTAGTTGTAAGCTTCATTTTGGTACCAATTTCATGAAATTTGGTGGAAAAACGAGTGAGAAACAAAGATTAGAAAATTTTCCAGTTTTTCAGCAACGGCGCTGGAGGTTGGCAGGAGAAGACGACGGAATATTCCGTCAGTTTGGATGAAATATTCCTAACGGCGTTAGGTTAACTTTAACGGAATCTGTTAGTTTTAACGGAATATTCCTGACGGCGTTAACTGACGCTGTCAGTGTGCCAGGCACTCGCCTGGGCGTGGGCGGCTCGTGTGGCCGTGCCTCGGCCGGCGCATGGGGGCTTGTGTGACGTCAGAAAATTATTTTTAAAATATGGGGATGTTCGTGAGGTTGAGTAGATCATGTTGGTGTATTCATACACCCCATTTGAGTATTGTATGAGAAGTTATTACCTAGTTTTGGTTATGTGCTTTAAATTAATGTTTTTATAGTTGTTTCGAATATAGGTGAGACCTATCCCTAGGACAAGCGCAGTCACTCGAGGCAAGGGGGTTACGACCCTTCTACATACCAGTGAGTGGGCTTTTGGTTTTCCGTATATAACTATATACTTGTGATTTTCCCAGAAAATGAAATGAAATGTTTATATGTTTTAAATGCCATGCATACCGTTTTCCTATTTAATTATGCATTAGTAGTTGCATTTATGTATGTTTGGTGCTGCGGACAAACAGGTAAGTGCCAGGTAAGTTATGGTTTATTTTTGTGATTAGTAGTGATGTATGATGCTTAGATAACCTGCACCCCTGGTGTTAGTGCTTCCGCCCAGAGTAGGGCACAGTCCTTCACGTGATGTTCACCTCCCGCACCACATGCTCATCTTGAATCTAAGTTAGGTGCACAGTCCTGTCGGACAGACCACTTTAGGTGGTTCTGACTCGTAAATGACCTGCGATTATTCGCCCAGTCTTCACGTGATCGTAGCACTTGAGCGTATTTATTTACACTCAGTCCTATCGTACAAACCACTTTAGGTGGTTCCGACTCGTGTGCAGGTATAGTTAGTGAGTTGGAGATTTGAGCTCTAGATTTAGACGTACAAGTCACGTTAGGTGACTCCGGCTGACAGATTACATTGCATTGATTGACATTACCTGGTTTTCTTACATTTTATGTAGAGGCATTCGACATGGCATATTTATGAGCATGTTTTCTATATGTGTATATATTCCATTTTTCTGGGAAACTATACAGGTTTTACGGCGAGGGGTTAGAACTTTGATAATGAAATGATTTTGAAAAGCTTTGTTTTTGCCCACTCACATTTTCTGTTTTGCGCCCCTCCAGGTTCTAGTTTGGATTGCTCTTTTGGTGGCTCTCGAGGGATTCTTGGCATATCTGACAGATTATCATCAATGTAGGACCACCTCTGGGTGTGTTTCGTTAGTGTCTGTTCCTCTGGACTGCACTAGGTTTTCTGTGCTCTGAATATTGTTTTTTTTAACACTTACGCTTGCACATGTATGTTAATTACCCTGTGTGTAGCATGGTTTTTATTTGTTCGTACTTTTATTATTATTCTTAGTTTCTGCACTGTGTACATGGTTACGTCACTCTCATGTGACGGCCATCACGCCCTGATTTTGGTCGGGGTGTGTCACAAACAGAGGCCCTTACATGGTATGGAATTTTTGTTGCTATATTTTCTTTTATATTTCATTGTGTATAAATTGATATAGCGCAAAATAAAATAAATAAAAATGAAGCATGATGTGGTGGCTATGTACTTATATGCTTTCCCTATGTCTTTGGGTTCGAAACTCTTTAGTTTTTAATACAAAAAGCATGGTGTGGTGTCCATGTAGCAAATCATAGATTATGATATTAGTAGCATGCTTATGATGAATTGTCGGTTTTTTTAGTGCATTTTTGCTCACCTCCTAAAGTAAGGATGTTTCTCACCCTGCCCCAGTTGATTGTTGTTAGATTTGTCAAAATTTCGAGATTCGTGTCTTAAATCAATTAACCAAATTAACCTAACGGTAATCAATGGGGTACTTTAGGGGTGTGACGTTTAAACAATGACAAAATAAACGATTAAATGATATCGTATAAAAAATGGGGGGCTTTTAAAGATTATATCTTCAACCTTTTAAGAATTCTAATTTATTATGATATTCCTAATTATATATTTATTAGCAAAAGTGATCTTTTATAATGAAAGAAATTAACTACATATATTTAAAACAAGAAAAAAATAGTGTAGCAAGAAAAATACTTTTTTCTTTGGTAAAGTGTAGCATGAAAAAGAGTCTAGCTAAAAAGGCCCAGAATGGTTACCCCCAAATAAAATTCATAATTAAAAGATATGTGAAGGTAGGGGTCGAACCCGTATGTAACTAGAAAATCTAGCATCTGCTAACTCCGCTACGGTTGCATGCCTCGCACACCTTCAGGGCCGGTCCTAATGTACCAGCTCATATTTCAAGCGCATGAAAAAATTTATTCATGCACCGAGAATCAAATTAATTGAATATTTTGGAACATGCATTTACAAATAGTCAACACTAAAATTCCAATTGTCTTTGCTGATGGTTGATTTACACGAATGAGGGTTCTTTTCAGATAATCTTTGTAAGGATTTTGGAGATATATAAATTATATCAGTTCATTGTATATCGTACGATTATAAATTATTTTAAAAAGTTTTATTTAAAATTGAACACAAATAATATCTGATGAAAATTAATCGTATAATGTACAATAAACAAATATGATTAGTAATTTATCGAGATTCTCACAAAGAGAATCCGAATTACACGACAAAAATTTTTGGATAACGTGGGCAGTTTGAATTACACCACAAAAATTTTTGGATAACGTGGGCAGTTGCATCGCCCAGAGTTCTTTTCGTTGTGCAAAGAAAAGTCCACTTTCTTCTAGGTACAAGTAGATCCTACTATAGTAGTTGGAAGATGGCAAAGAACAATCATCTTATAAATTTTATCTAAACATGCAAAACAAAGCTCTAACACTCTATATAAGCACGCAAACCATTATCTAACTACCGACTGATCAACCCGATCGATATCGAATCATTATCAATGGCAGAAGCAACAAAGCGGTGGCCACTCCATAACAATTTCTCACTCTTTGTTGTTGTTTCTTATTTTGTTGTTGTTAATTTGTTTTGAATTTGGTGTTTCGTTATGGTTGTGAATTTTTCAGGTATGCAGTTGTGACAGGGGCAAACAAAGGAATAGGATTAGGGATTGTCAAGCAGTTGGCATCAGATGGAATAACAGTGGTCTTAACAGCTAGAGATGAGAAGAGGGGTCTTGAAGCTGTTGAGAAACTCAAACAGTCCGGTTTGGGAGGTGAAGTGGTTTTTCATCAACTTGATGTGGCTAACCCCTCAACCATTGCTCCTCTCGCGGAGTTCATTAAAACCCAGTTCGGGAAACTCGATATCTTGGTACGATCATAGCTCTTTTCTTAAAAAGTTTCTGTCTTTGAAGACTTGGGCTTTTGGGCGTAGCCAAGTTTTTGGATTAGATTAATTAGAATATCGCTTGAATCAAATAAAGTTTGTCAGACTCATTAATTGGATTTTGAGTTGGTTATAAGAACATCTAAGGATCTACCCAAACTGACCTTTTAATTTCCATTTTCTAGAATTTCTTGCTTTTCAATAGTTTGAGTTGCTGAAGTAAAACAAATATTGAAAGATTTGTGCTTTGCACTGCACAGGTGAACAATGCAGGGGTTGGTGGATCCATTTTATAGATATGTTAGGCACGTTTTATTGTTGTATAAGCATGGGTGTAACATAGTATTTTTAATACTATGCATCGAACTACATTTCTTCTTAATATAGGTAAATTATTTTCCATGTATTAGTAAATATGTTAGGCACGTTTTGTTGTTGGTATAAACATTATTTTGCATCATTGTAAAAAAGAGATATTATATTACACCCATGGTATAATTGTTCGTAGGTAAATTAATGTGCATATAAATAATGAAATACAATGTTCTAATATATTAATAAAAAAAGGATAAATTCAAAAGTATTCATGTCACATCCCGGCCTGGGACGAATCACTTCCCGGGCTTGCTCCACCACCGTAGCATGATATTGTCCACTTTGGGCCCCGACCACGCCCTCACAGTTTTGTTTCTGGGAACTCACACGAGAACTTCCCAGTGGGTCATCCATCATGGGACTGCTCTAGCCCCCTTCTCGCTTAACTTCGGAGTTCCTACGGAACTCGAAGCCAGTGAGCTCCCAAAAGGCCTCGTGCTAGGTAGGGATGAGAATATACATATAAGGATCACTCCCCTTGGCGATGTGGGATGTCACAATTCAAGAGTACGGTGAAAAAACTGAATCGAATAGTTTCATGAAAATTCAAAACCTTTCTAAAAAATTAAAATGCAATAAATTTTTAACATTAATGTCTTTTTTTTTTCTTGTTGCAAAATCATTTACTATTTCCTTACAATTAATTGTCTACATCAAGCATGTAATAGGGGTATTTTAGACATGTGAAAAATGTGAAATGTGTGAATTAATGTGAAGTTAATGAATTTGCTTATGTGGATCCTAGTCATTGGGTTTTCTTTGAGTAAAAAAGTTATGTAGGGTTTTCTATGAAGAAAATTGAGTTTGAAGAGCTAAAGTCATATTTTCACAAATTATAATGATGCATGACATGCTTCAAGCAATTGCTGAAAGCCAAGCTCATTGGGGGAACCACAAGATTACAGAAATCAATAAAACCGTTTAAGTCTTTGTATTACATGGAGATCATATAAGAACAAAAACTCTCAAATCATATTAGGACAGAGAGTACAATGCACATGGGTCTAGTTGCATCACGTAATCATCAACCACGATCCCAGAACACCAAGTGAAGTAGATTCAGCAAGAAAACAACTTAAACCCTCACACATAGTTATGAAAAAGGTTTAGCAAACTGAAATGAAATTAAAATATGAAAAAGGTTTAGCAAACTGAAATGAAATTAAAATGAAAGAACTCTCCTACAGAGACAAATTAAACTAACAAACTCTCATAAAGAGAGTAATTAAAACCAGCAAACTACAAGTGAGTTCCCGAAAGTTATTAAACATAATCTATTTTGAATGTGACTCGCAATGTGTTCCAGTTTACGGTCCTCTTGTTCATAAAAAAAAAATTGAGGCATTGATGCTCCACCACACGCGATAGCGGCGAAACGTCGCTGTCAGAGGCTATATTTTTTGTAGCTCAGATATTAAGGGCTTGTTTTGTATCCTATTTAAAAAATTTTATCATTTCTCAAACATTTCTTAAGAAATTTTCTTAAAAACAATTTTCTTTAAAACTCAAAAATTTATTCGATATGCGATTTAAAAATTTTGAAATCTTACAACTTAAACTGTACAAAGTGATCCAAAAAGAAGAGGTCAAGGGAGAAAGAGGAGGGGAGAAAAGAAAGTAAGACATGATTGGAGGAAAGAAAAAGAAGAGAGAGGATCGGAGGAGATAGAGAGGAAGACGAGTGCGAGAAAGAACTCAGAGAATGATGAAAGCAGATTGAAGAAGAGATAAAAAAAATGTACAAAAAAGAAAGAGAAGGGGGAGATAGAAAGAAGAAAAGAGAGAGAGTTTTGGAGTGAGAGGGGAGAAGGGAGAGAAAAGAATGGAGTGAGTTTAAGTTTAAAAACTCTAAAAACTCACTTCTTGTTTTTAAAAAATAGACTATATTTTTTTAGTTAGTCTTGAGTTCAGTTTTTGAAAATAGTCCTACCAAACAAGTTTTTAAGGCCCAAAACCTGAAAATTGTTTTTGAGTTTAAAAAGTTGGATTCAAGTAGAGTACCAAATAGGCCATAATAATTTTGCAGTCTAGCAACCTATTTATTTTTGGTCTACCTTTGTAATTTACAAGCTGAAAGAATTAAAAGACACTGAAAGGAATATAAATAAGGGAAAATTTTCAGTGTATTGGGAACACAACTTGGTGTACCGGTTGTGTTATCTGTACATTGAAAAACCTGTCCAGAAATAAGGCCTTCTACTTACTAAATTCATAATTTCAGTGTCTTTGTTTCCAAACCTCTTTTGGCATGCTAAATCTACTTAAAATTCAAACATTTTTTTTTGGAGTGGTTGAAGATTTTCATAGAACAATAACTGATTGAATTTTATTCTGGATGATTCAATTCCATGGACCTACGAATAAAGTTTAATTTAAAAAATAATTTAGTTCAAAATCTCTAGTTATATTGACACACCCTGACCGATATCAAGGCGTGCTGGCCGTCACGTGAGAGTGTCGTAGCCATGTGCACAGTGCGGAAGCAAAATGATAAAGAGAAATACGAAAAAATAAAAACCAAACTACTAACAGTACTAGCTAAGATAACATGCTAGTGCGAGAGTAAGTGTGAAATACACAACTAGAGTATAAATAGCCTAAGTGCAGTCCGACTGGACAAGTACTAATTAAACAACACCCAAAGGTGATCCTACATTTGTGAAATCTGTCAGAACCACCACCACCATTCGACTCCTAAGCTTGCTAAGAGTCCAAAAATACCATTCACGACCTTGATCTGCGATGTTTGAAAGGATTTTGAGGGTTGTCCATACAGGTTGTATGGAAATGGAAGAAAAATCCGAGAGGAAGCAGAGAGAGAGAGGGTCAACGGGGAAAGGGATTGGTGTGTGTGAGTGTGGTCCAGCTGAGTCACCAACCAAAAACAAATCACCCATGACACCAACTAACGTCCAAGGGCAAAATCGTCATTTCACGCCATCGATAACATAATTCGGGACGGGTTGTCACATATATTAATTCTACAAGTAACATTGAAAACGAAATCAATCTTAACCCCGTACTAAACAACTAAACATGTTATTAACGCAATGATAACGCGATAAGTAATATTGAGAGAAAAAATCCAACTACATGATCTCATGCCTTGTAGAAATTTTTTAATCTGTCCAGAATATGAGTCGGTAAGTGGAGGCAAACTTAAAAAAAAAAAAAAAGAAGACTTTTTTTCTATTTCTATTAGGACACACAAATATGTAATGTAGTGCAGGGCTGATCTTGAGATTTTAGAGACCTTGTGCAAGACTCAAACAGAGGCCTTTACATGGTCTAGAATTTTTGTTGCTATATTTTCTTTTATATTTCATTGTGTATAAATTGATATAGTGCAAAATAAAATAAATAAAAATGAAGCATGATGTGGTGGCTATGTACTTATATGCTTCCACTATGTTTTTGGGTTAGAAACTCTTTAGTTTTTAATACAAAAAGCATGGTGTGGTGGCCATGTAGCAAATCACAGATTATGATATTAATAGCATGCTTATGATGAATTGTCGGTTTTTTTAGTGCATTTTTGCTCACCTCCTAAAGTAAGGATGTTTCTCACCCCGCCCGAGTTGATTGTTGTTATATTTGTCAAAATTTCGAGATTCGTGTCTTAAATTAATTAACCAAATTAACCTAACGGTAATCAATGAGGTACTTTAGGGATGTGACGTTTAACAATGACAAAATAAACGATTAAATGATATGGTATAAAAAATTGGGGCGCTTTTAAAGATTATATCTTCAACCTTTTAAGAATTCTAATTTATTATGATATTCCTAATTATATATTTATTAGCAAAAGTGATCTTTTATAATGAAAGAAATTAACTACATATATTTAAAACAAGAAAAATATAGTGTAGCAAGAAAAAGATTTTTTTTTTGGTAAAGCGTAGCGTGAAAAAGAGTCTAGCTAAAAAGGCCCAGAATGGTTACCCGTATGTAACTAGAAAACCTAGCATCTGCCAACTCCGCTACGGGAATTTTGTTTATTACGTTTACGTTTTTTATTTTTTAGTTTTTTTTATATATGTATTTACCATATAGGTTATTAAAATTTCTGGGCCTCATAATAACGGGCCCTGTGCGGTTGCATACCCCGCACATCCTCAAGGCTGGTCCTGATATACCGGCTCATGTTTCAAGCACATAAAAAAATTTATTCATGCACCGAAAATCAAATTAATTGGATATTTTGGAATATGTATTTACAAATAGTCAACACTAAAATTCCAATTGTCTTTGCTGATGGTTGATTTACACGAATGAGGATTCTCTTCAGATAAACTTTGTAAGGATTCTGGAGATATATAAATTATGTCGGGTCATTGTATATTGTGTGATTATAAATTATTTTAAAAATTTTATTTAAAATTGAATACAAATAATATCTGATGAAAATTAATCGCACAATGTATAATAAACAAATATGACTGACGATTTATAGGGATTCTCACAAAGAGAATCCAAATTACACCACAAAAAAATTTGGATAACGTGGGCAGCTGCATCACCCAGAGTTCTGTTCGTTGTGCAAAGAAAAGTCCACTTTCTTCTAGGTACAACTAGATCCTACGTAGTTGGAAGACGGCAAAGAACAATTTTCTTCTAATTTTTATCTAAACGTACAAAACAAAGCTCTAACACTCTATATAAGCACGCAAACGATTATCTAACTACCGACTGATCAACCCGATCGATATCGAATCATTATCAATGGCAGAAGCAACAAAGCGGTGGCCACTCCATAACAATTTCTCACTCTTTGTTTTTGTTTCTTATTTCGTTGTTGTTAATTTGTTCTGAATTTGGTGTTTCGTTATGCGTGTGAATTTTTCAGGCGTGCAGTTGTGACAGGGGCAAACAAAGGAATAGGATTCGGGATTGTCAAGCAGTTGGCATCAGATGGAATAACAGTGGTTTTAACAGCTAGAGATGAGAAGAGGGGTCTTGAAGCTGTTGAGAAACTCAAACAGTCCGGTTTGGGAGGTGAAGTGGTTTTTCATCAACTTGATG